AAGTGTTGCGCAATGGGATGTGATTCTTGTTGGTTTAGTAATAGCTGGGTAAAGAAATAAGCTGTGGATAGTATTGATGTAATCACAAATAACATTCTTACTTTTATTGAGCAAATCAATATTGAAATCGCCACATAAAAACATAGTTTTATGAGTATTTGTAAACATTTCTTCCATCCACTCTGCAAATTTCCCAATATCTGAGTTTGGAGTTCGGTAAATACAACTAATAATAAAACATTTTTTGTTGGCATTATGTATTTCTATTGTAATACATTCTAATAAATTGTCAACAGTGAGTGACATTTTGCTCATGATAGTATAATTCATATTTTTATTCAAATAAAGAGCAACACCACCCCCACTTTTGTTTCCTCTGTCGATATGTAAAAAGTCATAACCATCCAAATCAAAATTTAAGTCTCTGTCAGGCTTTATCCAAGTCTCACTTATTGCAATAACACTGAATGGTTGAGAAAATTGACACAAGTAGTTTTTAATTTCTGTAAAGTTGGCATATAGACTCCGAGCATTGATATGTATTAATGAAAGTGTCCCATCGTTTGTTGACAGTCTCATATTGCTTTTCTGTATAATACAAACATTCACATGTCTCAATATTGTTAAAAAAATTATTGTCTGGATCAGTGTTATTTTCCATATCATAGCTGTTGTATACTGTGCGTTCAAATGGTTGTAATTCCAGGTTGAGGCTTGCATGATTATCTTCGTTTGTTATATTGATTAGGCTCTCAGATGAGGGCATTTTTTGTTCTTGAAGTGTCATATAGGCTAGAGTTCATTACCTTACAGAACTTGGAGATCACCCGAAGCTATCCAAATCCTCCAGCTTTCGTACCACCAAGATTTTGGCTTCTTCTGGGTGTCCATTTAGCTTTATGTAGACTTTACAATTCGTTGTCCACGTGTTTTGGATTTTTTTCATTTTTCTGAGGAAGCGTGCCTTTTTTGCGATGTCTGCGTTGGTTTTCGTGAGATGCTCGTTGATGAATACATCCGTCCCTTTAAGTGTCCTTCCCTGTCTCAAAAGAGCAATCTTATGCTTTCTGTTTGTAAACCGCATTATTACAGTTCTCTTCTCGCCGCTATTTTTATTTGGAAATGTGTGACAGGCCTCTACCCCATCCAACTCCAGATCGATCCCTTTGGACTGTAAAAAACCAGCCACTTGATCCTCGATGAAGCGCACCTCCATGTCATGACTCGGGTCTCCCTCGTTAGTTGCCGTCACTGCACGGGCGTACGACCTGGGTTTTATCCGGAGCCCCGTGATGATCACATCGTTCATCCGGCTGTATTGCTCCAAGTCAGCAACGCGGCTCTCCAGAACGGCAATTTTCCTGTCTTTCTCTGCGTTCGCAGTGCGTAACGCTTTAACTTCCTCAACCAGTGCAAGGATATCATGTTGTTGATTCTTCACGGTTGCCAAGTTGTCAGAAAGCGACTCCAGAATTTTTTTTATGTCAACTTCTTCAGCTGAAATTTTTTTTTTCGGAGGCATTTTGTACAGTGTACAAAATGTAAAGTGTTGCAAGTTGAGCAGTCGGCTGTCAGTGGCCCAGCGGCGTTTGCACACCCGCGACCGGCTTATGCCTCTTTTTTCTATATCCGATCCTCTGCTGTTTTTATGTGCAGCCCAGATTAGAGTTGAAATATCGGTTGATTCGTTTTTGTATCAAATACAGCGATCAGTATGCGCACATACGATATTTAAGATGAAAATGTCGGAATGTACTCAGAGTGCCAGCAGCATAGCTCCAAGCGGAAGCCCTTAAGCATTAAGTTATCATGAGAGATTGACCAACCTTGTATATTTGCAGCTTAAAAAATGGCCAGCCAAACTTAGAAAGCATTGACCATGAAAACCTTTTAGTCAATTTCTAGATGGTAAATCTTTAAAACTATGTTACCTGTAAAGGTCAACAATAGCTAGCATACAAGGAGGCGTGGCGCAAATAACAATTATCATTTGAGACGTTTTATTGCAACCGTTATGTCAGTGGGGTCAGTCACATCAATTGTGCAAGTCTTTCCACTTAAAAAGATGAGATGCCAGTAATTTTTGCCCTAGGTATACTTTATCTTAGCCTGGTCTTACCAACTTTTTCTTAAATCCTTCGGTTTTCTTTAAACCCACACTTTACTGCCACAAACTCTGCCCGTCTGGCTCTCGCTCTAACTTCCGCTCTGATGAACTGCTCTGATTGGTCAGAGCGCGGCCGAGCCCCTCTGTGCACGTGCGTGAGACCCGGTGTGAGACCCACACACGCGTATTTGGCGCAACGTATCATGGGAGATCATCCCCTGCGCAGAACCGGAAGGACCAGACAATGCCCAAATACAGGCGAGTTTCCCATAGATCTTTGCGAGTTTCAGGCGACTTCCGCTAATCTTTTCGGCACCCATGCCGGCACAAAGCGCCACTGAGCACAACCATTCATTTGAATACGGCGCCATCTTGGATCGCCGGGGCTTGGTCAAGTGACGCTGGGCCTCTCGGCATCACTATTCATTTTCAATGCAAACCTGACACTTTTGAAGTCAAAGTTGAGTCCGGTGTGAACGCCCCTTAAGGCCAGGCTACATTTATCTATGAAACGGCTGCCCTTTGTCACCGGTTCTGTTCACTGTATTCATGGACAGAATTTCTAGGCGCAGCCAGGGGCCGGAGGGGGTCCGGTTCGGGGACCACAGGATTTCACCTCTGCTGTTTGCGGACGATGTTGTCCTGTTGGCTCCAACAAACCAGGACCTACAACATGCACTGGGACGGTTTGCAGCCGAGTGTGAAGCGGCTGGGATGAGAATCAGCACCTCCAAATCTGAGGCCATGGTGCTCGACCGGGAAATGGTGCCTTGCCCTCTACACGTGGGTGGAGAGGTCCTTCCTCAAGTGGAGGAGTTCAAGTATCTCGGGGTCTTGTTCACGAGTGAGGGAAGGATGGAGCGTGAGATTGACAGGCGGATCGGTGCAGCGTGCGCAGTGATGCGGTCGCTGTATCGGACCGTTGTGGTGAAGAGGGAGCTGAGCCGAAAGGCAAAGCTCTCGATTTACCGGTCAATCTTCGTTCCCTCCCTCACCTATGGTCATGAGCTTTGGGTAGTGACCGAAAGAACGAGATCGCGGATACAAGCGGTCGAAATGAGCTTCCTCCGCAGAGTGGCTGGGTGCTCCCTTAGAGATAGGGTGAGGAGCTCGGTCACACGGGAGGAGCTCGGAGTAGAGCCGCTGCTACTCCACGTTGAGAGGAACCAGTTGAGGTGGCTCGGGCATCTGTTCCGGATGCCTCCTGGACGCCTTCCTGGGGAGGTGTTCCGGGCACGTCCCACTGGGAGGAGGCCCCGGGGAAGACCTAGGACACGCTGGAGGGACTATGTCTCTCAGCTGGCCTGGGAACGCCTTGGGGTCCTCCCGGACGAGCTGGAGGAAGTGTGTGTGGATAGGGAAGTCCGGGCGTCTCTGCTTAGACTGCTGCCCCCGCGACCCGGCAACGGATGAAGCGGAGGAAAACGGACGGACGGACGAGAAAAACATTTTTGAAAAATGTATATGCAAATTAATGGACAATAAGTATTTGGTCAATAACAAAAGTCTCAATTCTTTTTTTATATACACTTTTGTTGGTAAAGACTTAACAAGGTATTCTCAATCTTGTTGGTATTTTGGCCCATTCCTCCATGGAGATCTTTAGAGCAGGGGTGCATCCCTTCAAAGATTTTTATTTATTTATTTAGAGGATAAGCCCCTTGAGATGAATCATCTCGTTTTCGAGGGGGTCCTCAAGATTTCACAAGGACAGATACAGAAAAACAGATGCAAATAAGACAAAAGAAAATCATTAAAAAAAAAAAAAAAAAAAAAACACAAAACAAATAGTAATAATAAAAAAATAAATAAAAAAAAAGCAACCATAACAAATACACACACAATCACTCACACACACACATCGTGACTGTACTGATGTTACACAAAATATAGATAATACTAATAATATTGATGGTAATAACAATAATCGGGAGACAAGACAAGTTTAGGTCTCATAAACTAAGATCAAAACATTGACATGAATACCGGAGATATTGTATCAAAGCAGATTTTCTATGGGGTTTATATCTGGAGACTGGCTAAGCCATTCCAGGACCTTGAAATGCTTCTTATGAATCCACTTCTTTGTTGCCCGTGCCGTTTGGAATCATTGTCGGGCTGAAAGACCCTGAAGTTTGCTAGAGAATATTTGGATGATCCAGAAAATAATTGGGAGGATGTCCTATTGTCAGAGGAAACTATAAGAGAACTACTTTACAAATTATTAGCAAGAATAGAGCTATATTCACTTTAGATACAGCCTGCAAACTGTTTATCTACCTGTTCAACCAGTGTTTTATTTTCCAGTTGTGTGCTCTGTGTTTCAATGGATCTGGCTGCTACGGGACAAAAAATAAGGACCAGCCAGTGCAACGTTGAAATGGGAAATTATCTGCATGTATTCCACGTACTGTTCACAAAAAACAACAAAATGCACTGGTACAACCAGACCCGTTTCAAATCCACCACAGCAGCTAAGGTTCACACAAACGACATACGCACTCACCTGACACTCTATCCTGATTTGTCTCCTAAAGTGAAGAGCTTGGTGCCTTATCCGTAGGTTACATGCCACTTGGTAAAAGTAAGTAAGTAATGTTTATTTATATACCGCCTTTCACAGACAAGGGTCACAAAGCGGTTTACAATTGTTATTAAGTAAGTGAGTTGGGTTTTTTTGGGGTTCTTTAACAATGTCCCTCCAAAGGAGGTCAACCAAAACAAACGGATTAACTAATGTTCACCGGTATTAAGTGAATGGATAAATTCCCTAGTGTTTCTGTTGCAAGGGATAACTCAAATCCATTTTGTACGGTAGAATCTTACCACCAATGGCAACTAATAGGTTTTCTTGTCTTTGCTAGACATAAAATCTTTTATTTTGTCTTAACAGGTGCCATTCTCCGTTCTCCAAGGTGAGGGGGTGGAATTTCTTGGGCGTGCCACGGACGCTGTCATTGCCATGTCTAACTACAGGCTTCACATCAAGTTCACAGACTCAATCATCAATGTAAGTGGCTCCATCAGCACATTCTTCACCAGAAAGTCCAACTTTGCCCTATACAAACTTTTAAAACTTGTTTAAACAGGGGATTATGCGTCACATAATCTGGAGTTTTTAAAGTGTAATGGATTCTCATGAGTTGTAAAAAAAAACCTCTTCTGTTCGTATCCAGGTAGCAAGACAACTCGGCTAACACCTATAGAAACTCCTCACACTATGCTATCTGAATCATACTGATGTTCTTATATTAAATACATTTGTGAAGCATCAAAAGCAGAACGACAAAGATGTGAGATAAAAATAACAAGAAATGGCGCCCGAGCAACTATTATTACTCATGTATGCCTTTCAGTGACAAAACACAAATCTATTGGTGCTGCAGTAAATCGGTGAACAAGAAATATTTCCTGTTTAGCTTTTGTCCGATTATTTGCATCAAAAGCTCTACCCTGTGTCTCGTCACCACATCTCACTTGTGATGAAGTGTTAATCTGATTGTTTGGAACATGTCCCAGAGCGATAACTTTTTTGTACAGTGGAGAAAAAAACGTAGTAAGCGCTTTTTTCTTCTCTGGACACATAATCATGTAGGATTCCCTCGACATCTAAAATCTTATGATGATGAAAAAGTGTTGGATTCCCTTTTTAGTATATTCTGCATTCACATAATCACCCAAGCAGACGCTCTGTGCGTGTCACGTTTTTAGTATCTACTGCTCTGGACTTTGGCCCACTTGGTCTTAAAGAGAACAAGGAGCTTTAAAAAAGTACTTTGTCTAAGGGATCAGCACTAAATGGTGCAAAACCTTGTGCCTAGATAAATCCGCCTTTAAAATCAGCCAAATAAATCTTCCATCGGCCAGTCAAACTTTGAAAACCCATATTGGTCGACCTGTAGTTAAAATGAGTCTTTATGTGAATCATTGAAACTCTCTATAAAGGTAAACTGTAATGGCAAACTGGGATGCTCCTGCTGTAGTGTCCTGCTGTGACCTGATGGCACACCGACCTCTGGTCCACTACCTGCCATCCCCCAAACTTTGAAGCCATTTTCATGCCCCACTTGTTTGTCTGCCCCACTGTGATCCATGCATTTTTCCTCCATTTTACTTTTAAACTGTTAACACTTTCTTTAGATTTTATTTATAATTTTCTTTTTTTCCCATTCTTGCCCTTTTGTTTTCTTCGGTGTAACATTGAATTAGAGCTACCAAAGTGTGGACAATGAGATATCTGTGAGTACCCTGTGATGAAGACGATCACAAAAGCCTTGTTCCTGTTACTAACATTTAACTGCATCCTTTATTTACAAATGTGTACAAATGTGTTCCAAATGTTGACACTAAAGCACTGCTGCTCTGTCATTTCAAAGCTTTGCGGTTTAAATGGTGTTTTATATGGAGTTGTGATGGGCCCACAGATGCTCAAATGCTGCTCTCTGCTTCCCCCTACAGGTTCCTCTCAGACTCATAGAGAGTGTGGAGAGCAGAGACATGTTCAATCTTCACATAATTTGCAAAGACTCTAAAATTGTACGGTAAGTCGTCTAATTTGGTAACAAGAAATGACTTTGATTGGTAATGACAAATGGTGACCTATTGTGTTTTTTTATGTTGAATGAGAAAAATTTACTCTAAACTAACATTCTGGTGGATAGCAACTCTAACTGACAAAAATTAACCTTTTAAACGTTGTGATGTCACATGATGCTTCATCACGCCACATTGAATTTATGCCAAAGTTTGATGATTTCATTGATCTTTTAAGCATTTGTTTGGGTCTGAGTGAGTGATGACAGATGATTGATTAGTAATGTTTTTTATTAGTGAATTGTACTTTCATTTTCTTCATTCAGATGCAACTTTGCAACATTCAAGCAGTGCCAGGAATGGGTTAAGCGACTGAACCGTGCTATCGCTCACCCTTCCCGTCTAGAGGAGTTGTTCGCTTTGGCCTTTCATGCCTGGTGTCTGGGAGGAAGCGCTGATGACGAGGACCAGCACCTTCATCTATGTCACCCAGGTAAATAAAATAAACTGACTACATGCCCCCTGTGTTGGCTTTACGCTGCCCTCCGACCGAAAAACGTGAACAAACGGGATCAGTTTACCCCAACTTGTGATTCAAACATGATGAGAAGGGAGCTTATGTTGGACTTGTTTTGGAAGTGTCCTCCAGAGTAAAGCCTGCAAACTGTCGTCATTCTTATGTCTTATTCTTAACTTTTTTTACAAACTCTAGTGTACATGTTCACTTCGTAGCCCAGCAAAGCCAAGACCCAAGCCAGAGGCAGTGGGCTTGTTTGTGCAAGTCCATAGAACTCTACACAGTTGTATTAGGGCACAGATCAAGAGTTTGATATGTTTGTAGATTAGGATCATTAAATTAAAAAGACATTTATCAACCACATCTTTCAATAACTGTTTGAGTAATTGCCTGCATAATCAGGTATTCGGGTTCGCAATAATTATTATAAAATGCATGTAAAACGTAGCAGGGACGGCTGCTGTGTAGAATAACTACATGAGGTTGTGTGTTCTGCAGGAGATCATGTGCGGCACAGAATGGACATGGAGGTCAGGAGGATGGGCTTTGACACACAGAATGTCTGGAGGGTGTCTGACATCAACTGTAATTACAAGTAAGTTTTGATTTACAAATGGATAAAAAATGAGTGTTGTACAGTATCTTCTTAGCAGAAGATGGGGTTCCTCGCACAAACCAGTATAGTGTTGTAGAAGGAATGCACTCTGAGTTATGTATTAAAGAAAGAGTTTAATGGCATAATCAGAATACATTAAGTCAAATTCAGGCTTAGCGCTTCAGCCTGGGTCCCTAACAAAATGGAATAGCAGAATGACCGCGAACACACAAAGCAGCGAGCCCTTATAGAAATTAGGAGAGTTACAAAACACACTTTAACAACCACACATTCAGGACATTCATATGCACCTCATGATATTCGTATTACAACGCATTTCAGTCTCATGATAAAGATGTTCTTCACATATATGAAGGTCTCTATTGTTTTTCCGGACGTCCCTCCGTCTCATGACTTAGAGAGAGGGGTCAGCAGTTTTCCTGTCATTTAGTACTGAAATTCCCATTACATTCTAAACATATGAATAGATCTATGTAGAATTTAAAGAATATTAATAATAGCAGACACCACATGAGCAAAGTAAAGTTCACAATCCTTGTTAGAATTGATATTGCTCCCTGGTGAGTGGACGCCTGATGTATCTGGCAAAACGGCTTGGGACAAATCATCTAATCTCGGTCTGTGTTTAAAAGAACAAAACTCACTACGTTAGTGCATGCTCATAAAAATAAAAACCTACATGGAGCTGTTCTTAAAATGAACTTTCTTACTCAAGTCCTCAAAGTGAATTTAAAAAGCACTGCTCAGCCACACACTTGCAACCTCCTTCTCCAAAGCCCATGCACAGAGTCAGATTTGGCTTTCCTTTAAACAATTGAACTTAAGTGGACAAAATAAATCTTTTGGAATAAAGGGGAGGCCAAGTTTAAAATGACCCATGTCCATCAACTGCCGTGGGAATGTGTGTGGTAAAAAATAAAAAGGATAATGATCAGAGTTGTAGGCATTTTAATATTCAGTTCAGTTCATACTCAATTTTTATTTGTTTTTATTTAACTTACTTTTTTTCTGGGCACACCTTCTTGTAAATTATACTTGTATACTTGTATTTTGTGCAATTTCTTAAATTTGTTCCAAAAGCCTGTGGCGGCTCCCTGCTGAGCGAGACAGACATGGCACTAGCGGCTAATTAAACTGCTGCCGCTGAGGCTCATGACTCAGCACATTTTTCTCCCCTCAGAGGCACTGTAGCCACTGAAGGGAAAAAAATACTGAAAAAATGATGCCACATTTTCATGACATGAATCTAATAAAAATCCATACAATAATATTGTGGTTCTTTTGACACTATGTGGTTCTATGCAGACTGTGCGCCAGTTACCCACAGAAGATTCTTGTCCCAATCTGGATCACTGACAAAGAACTGGAGAATATAGCGTCCTTCCGGTCCTGGAAGAGAATCCCGGTGGTGGTCTACAGGTTTGACTACTTTCATAATTCCTGGTGTCTGCTAATGGTCATGTACTATCTCAACTTAATATTTCAGTTCTCTGTTGTGATGAAAATTATAAACATTTGATGTATCCTATATTCTAATGTGCAAACTGTATTGTAGGCATCAAAGAAACGGGGCAGTGATTGCACGTTGTAGCCAACCAGAGATCAGCTGGTGGGGCTGGAGGAACACAGACGACGAGTACCTGGTCACGTCCATCGCTAAAGCCTGTCAGATGGACTCCGGCACCAAAAACAGCTGCAGCGGCGCTGGCTGCAGACGGGGAGACGACTCTTCAGATAGTGAATTTGGTAACTTGTTTGTGCCATCTATTCTAACAGAATCGCTCTTAGAGGAAACGGTGAGGCATGAGTGGTTATTGCTCATACCCCACAGCATGAGGTTACAGGTACAATCCCCCGGTCTTGGTCTTACTGTGGGGATTTGCACTCGTACTACATCTCTCCTGTTTATGAGCAGGAGAAACTTGCTGTGAATGATGGTAGTGGTCACATTCATAGAGGTCTAACTTTTTTATCTTCAATTTGCTTCAACCACCAATTGCTCCCCAAAATTCAGTTGAGGCGAGAGCACCATCAATAAAAGACAATAGACATTGTGCCAATGGGAGTTGGTCCGTTTGTGGTAAAGTTGTGTAAATGATCGTGAATTCAAATTAAGAATGTGCCACAAAGTTATTTTGGCTGTTCACATTTAACTGAAAACTGCAGCATGTGTGGAGGAGGACCAGTGAGTCTGGAAGTGTCAGGTGAAAGTGTTTGGCAGGATGGATCTTTCTTGCCTCTGATTTCAAATTAAATGAACAGGATTCCAAATGTATAAATGTTTTGGCTCATGTCAACTCTTCATCTACTGGACTCTCTGCACATCATCTACAGATGTTTTTGACATAATTCAAGTCTAATAAGTAAAATCATTTTGTATTGGGCCTAGGCCATATTTATTACTGCTGCCACTGATAGAACATGCCGTGGGAAGTTTCCCTTAAGATCTTTAGTGTGTTGTTGTTGATAGACGCTTTAAGTGAAGTGCAGTAGTGCTATTCCTTTTGTGTTAAGTGGATATATCCGCTTGTGGATATCTTTATTAATATGAAGCATGTCTCGATGCACCTTTCATCATATTTAATTGTATCATTTGTTAGACTCCTCTCTGACTGGAGGTTCCTGTGAAGACAATGTAACGCCACACAAGCTGCTCATTATGGATGCCCGCTCGTACACTGCTGCTGTGGCCAACAGAGCCAAAGGAGGAGGCTGCGAGTGTGAAGGTTAGTAATTAGGTTTGTAGATTTATATACAAACTCTTGATACCATTTTTTTAACCCTTTGCTTCTGCAGCCTGCCCTCTTAAGGGGCGTTCAGACCGGACTTAACTTCGGCGTCAAAAGCGTCAGGTTTCCATTGAAAGTGAATGGTGAAGCGCGTCAGGTGAAGCCGAGGGGCCCGGCGTCACTTGACGCGCGTCAAAAGCTTCAAGAGTCGCGCGTACTACGCGCTCACTTGAAGCTTTTGACGCGCGAAACGCTCGCGTATCACAACAATCCCTTTGACGCCGAAGCTGAGCAAAGCTGAGCTTTTGAAGCTTTGACGCGGGCTTCAACCAATCAGGAGACGAGGAGCAGCAGCAGCAGAGGGTCTGTCTCTGTCATGAAGAGAAGTCATGTATCTGCTGCTGCTGTTTTATTGTCATTATTGTTATTAGTAATATTATTTGTATGAGTAGTAACATTCTGAGTAACAAAATCATTGTACACATGCTGTGTAGTAAACGTAGTTTATTTAAAATAAGAACAGGCTGACGATGAGTCTGGCTCAGAGCAAGGCAGCTCCGGGCGGGCGAGAGCCGGGGAGAGGCGAGCGAGAGCCGGGGAGAGGCAGGGAGAGGCAGGGAGAGCCGAGCGAGAGCCGGGGAGAGGCAGGGAGAGGCGAGAGCGAGGCAGGGAGAGGCGAGCGAGAGGCGAGAGCGAGGCGGGGAGAGGCAGGGAGAGCCGTGGAGAGGCAGGGAGAGGCGAGCGAGAGCCGGGGAGAGGCAGGGAGAGGCGGAGGAGAGGCGAGCGAGAGGCGAGGGAGAGGCAGGGAGAGGCAGAGAGAGCCGGGGAGAGGCAGGGAGAGGCAGGGAGAGCCGGGGAGAGGCAGGGAGAGGCAGCGAGAGCCGGGGAGAGGCAGGGAGAGGCGGAGCGAGAGCCGGGGAGAGGCAGGGAGAGGCAGCGAGAGCCGGGGAGAGGCAGGGAGAGGCGAGCGAGAGCCGGGGAGAGGCAGGGAGAGCCGGGGGAGAGCCGGGGAGAGGCGAGCGAGAGGCGAGGGAGAGGCAGGGAGAGGCAGGGAGAGGCAGCGAGAGCCGGGAGAGGCAGGGAGAGGCAGAGGCAGCGAGAGCCGGGGAGAGGCAGGGAGAGGCAGCGAGAGCCGGGGAGGAGGCAGGGAGAGGCGAGCGAGAGCCGGGGAGAGGCGAGCGAGAGGCGAGGGAGAGGCAGGGAGAGGCAGGGAGAGGCAGGGAGAGGCAGAGAGAGCCGGGGAGAGGCAGGGAGAGGCAGGGAGAGGCAGAGAGAGCCGGGGAGAGGCAGGGAGAGGCGAGCGAGAGCCGGGGAGAGGCAGGGAGAGGCAGCGAGAGCCGGGGAGAGGCAGGGAGAGGCGAGCGAGAGGCGAGGGAGAGGCAGGGAGAGGCAGAGAGAGAGGCAGGGAGAGGCGAGCGAGAGCCGGGGAGAGGCGAGCGAGAGCGAGCGAGAGCCGGGGAGAGGCAGGGAGAGGCGAGCGAGAGCCGGGGAGAGGCTAGCTCCGGGGTTTGAGAACTCAAACCGGGCGAGTGACATGCGGAAGTACCGCTGAAAGCGAGACTCCTCCGTACGCAGCTCTTGGAGTAAATGACGGAACTCTGCAAACACTGCAGCCTCTCAAGTCTGTGGTGAACCCAGAACATGTTTTGTTGAAGCCCTACAACAACGTTATTTTGCTTTATATAACAAATAAAGGCTCGCTGCTCATTGAAAAATCCACCGCTGTCCTGACTACAGGCAACAGAGAAGCTCCTCCCACCGGCGTCAGGCGCGTCACTCGCGTCAAAAGCTTCAAGCATCAAAATGACAAAACTATCCCGGCGTCAGTTGAAGCGCGTCAAAAGCTTTTTGAAGCTTTTGGTCTGAACGCGCCTTTACACATGTCACCTTCTGCTGTCTGTTTAGAGTACTATCCCAACTGTGAAGTGGTGTTCATGGGAATGGCCAATATCCATGCTATTCGCAACAGCTTCCAGGCACTGAGGGCTGTGTGCAGTCAGATCCCAGAAACACATATGTAAGTACCAATGCAACCATTTTGTCACTTATATGCCCACAAGACTTCAACAAAGTAATAAGACAGCTGTGACGGGAAAGCAAATCGTGTCTGATCCCATCAGACCTCATAAGCTAAGCAGGGTAGTGCCTGGTTAGTATTGTGATGGAAACACCAGGTGCCGCAGTGTGGTGGCTGTCAAATATACTGTAATTTCTTCATAGAAATTCCAGTATATTACATTACTGCTTATTCTCTACACAAGCATAACCAGCTTGTATTAACTAGTTATATGAATACTTCTCATTTTGTTTTAATTTCAAAAGAATAACATGAACAACTGAAAGGAAAGCGAAATGACTTGTTTTTGTGGTCGTTCCTTGGCACATTTTGTTATGTTACAAGCACAAGTTAGAGTTTGATTTGTATGTTTTCAACTGCGTGTATGGGGGAACTTTACCTCTCCGTAAGATTGAACCATATACTTTACATGAGCCGGAATGTCAATGTATTCTTTTTCCTCCCATGAGCAGTTGGCTGTCAGCGTTGGAGAACACCCGTTGGCTCCAGCACCTCTCTGTGATGCTCAAAACGGCGTGCATGGTTTGTTCTGCGGTGGAGCGCGGCCGGCCCGTGCTGGTGCACTGCTCAGACGGATGGGACCGCACTCCTCAGATCGTTGCTCTGGCCAAGATTCTGCTGGATCCCCATTACAGGACATTGGAGGTGGGAGCTTTTCTTCCCACTTATTCACTTTATTTACCACTTATTTTATTAACGAGGTGTGTTTCTTTTTCTTCTTTTGTTTAATAGGGATTTCAGGTGCTTGTGGAGACAGAGTGGTTGGATTTTGGGCATAAATTTGGAGATCGCTGTGGTCATCAGGAGAACGCAGACGATGTGAGCGAGCAGTGTCCTGTCTTCCTTCAGTGGCTCGACTGCGTGCACCAGCTGCTTAAACAGTTTCCTTGTCTGTTTGAGTTCAATGAGGCCTTCCTGGTAGGTTTTGGACTGCATCATGTTCATAATCTATTATAATAATGAATCAAATCAGCAGTTTTTTTACCTTCTATTCTGATGTCCTCAGGTTAAGCTTGTGCAGCATACATATTCTTGTTTGTATGGCACTTTTTTGTGCAACAACGCTCGAGAAAGGGAAGCAAAGAATATGTACAAACGCACCTGTTCAGTCTGGTCTCTGCTGCGGGTGGCAAACAAGAACTTTCAAAACTTTCTCTACGTCCCTTGTCAGGATATGGTAAGTCCTCATGTTCTATAGATTAGTGACAGTGACTTTTTAAGTCTGGTCTGTTAACTTTTAAGGTACCTTATTCTTCACACCGGAATACATTCCATAATTCTCCTACTGAGCTCGTGTCTGTTCTGGTCTTTGCAGGTGTTGCAGCCTGTCTTCCACACTCGGGCCTTGCAGCTCTGGACAGCTGTGTACCTGCCCACCTCCTCTCCCTGCACTGCTGTGGACGATTCAATGGATCTCTATCTTCCTCCTAATGATGGTGGAGAGGAGCTCACCTCCCGCTCTTTGGACAGGTATGCAACTTTGGAAAAGGCTGTCCTCTTGTGTTCAAAATGCAGAGTGACTGTGAGGAGCTTCCATACGTTAACAGAATACGACATTTTTTTCCTTTTAGACTTCCAAAGACGCGGTCAATGGACAACTTGGTGACTGCTTTTGAGAATGGAACACATCTTACCCGCACTTCCAGTGATCCCAATCTCAATAAGCATTGTTCAGCTCTGCAGTCGTCTGCTGTTGGAGGGAGTTCTGACACCACTACACCGGACAGTGGCCTGGCCAATGGTGAGGAGGAGGCGTATGTGCCTAGCTCTACTGTCACTCCAGAGGAAGTCTCGCACGAGGAGACCTGTCTCACTACACAGCCACTGCCATGTGCTCCCCTTCCTCCTGCTCCTGTTATTGACAACTTTACATCATGTCCTGCTCCAATCCTCCAGCAAACTAAACCAGATGCTAAGCCAGTACCTAAGGCTCTGGATAAAGATCCTGCAACATGCAGAACTATCGACACCACTATGCCACCTACGCATCAGACCGAGCCATGTTTATCTTTACCTTGTGCACAAGACACTGATAAATCCCCATCTATACTCAATGACCGCACCTATGACAATAAGGAACGCCACAAAAGCCTCTCACATTCTTCTGAGCTGCTCCTTTTAAAGCGGCTTACTCCACTTCTTCCAATGGAGGACTCAACGGAAACCCTGACTGGAGAAGGCGAGTTGCCGTCTCACTCCTCTGACATCCGCATTAAAAGTCTAGGTTACGCTGAGACTGAGACAAACCCAGAGCCTGGAACAGATGAAGGTAAAGGCAGGAAGTCTACTCCTGTGACTCTGCCAGACCTGTCGCTGCAGGGGCCACACTGGGACAGTGTTCAGGGCTTTGTGCAGTCCTCCTCCGCCAGCCACGCAGGTGTCAGTCGCTCTCTGCAGTCCGCTGCCTTTCAGAGCCGCCGTGTTGCCAATAACCTGTTGCGATCGGCAGCAGTGGCCAATGCTGTGCAGAGCTGCAGGAGAGAGGCTAACGTGACCACTTTCTCCCTGGGAGCACTTCCACTCTACAGCTCTCCCTCGTGCTCGCCCTCCCCATCTCAGACTCCTGCGTACCTAGATGATGACGGCCTGCCTGTGCCAGTGGACGCGGTGCAGCAAAGACTCAGGCAGATTGAGGCAAGTTACAAGCAGGAAGTGGAGGTGCTCAGGCAGCAGGTGCGGCAGCTGCAGATGAGGCTGGAGAGTAAACGACATAGCAGCCCCCCTTCTGAGCCAGACATCGACTATGACGACGATATTGTGAGCTTTGGATCCTTTCATTTCAAGTAGCCACATGTTGAAGCTTTTCCTTTAACTTTTTTTTTTTGCTTCCAGACCTGTCTGCGTGAGTCGGACACCAGTAATGAGGATGACTCCTTGTCCAGCCACAGTGAGGATTGTCTGTCTGTGGGCAGCTGGGATCGAGTGGAGCCCAAAGACACAGAGGTCAGACTTTCCACACTTTCACGACCTCTGTGCTGCTGTCACATTAGTTCACTTTCCTCACTCATGACTGTCTCTGTAGGTCACTCGGTGGGTTCCTGATCACATGGCCTCTCATTGTTTTAACTGTGACTCTGAGTTCTGGATGGCCAAGAGACGTCACCACTGCAGGTGCTTGTTCTGCCTTCTTCTTCACTCTCAAAACGCCAATATGTGTCTGTTAATTACCATAGTCTATGAAAGTACAGGGTTGTTTAGCTGTGCGCTAACTGCTAATGTGAAGCTAACCCCTTGTGGTTAACAGGACAACCAAGTGAAATTAAGTGAAAGGGAACAGCATATGGAAAATGACATATTATATACTATTGTGTAAATCTGCAAAATGCTTATAATTATTAAAAGCTTATAATGAGTTTTAAACATGTTATTTTTGGTAATGGAAAAATGGATAAAGGTATGGAAAAATGAAGGAACTGGAGATAATTTAGTAATCTATAGGAGTATGACTATGACTTTTAATCATTTACCCATTTTATTTTTTCAGATTAAAATACATTTCAGTCAGTACAACAGTCTTTTTTCTGCTGCCACGTGCAAAAAAATGGTGGTTATTAAAGAAATAAAATAAACATCTTGAGGAAAAAATAGGATCTATGTGAAATAGAATGTAAATTAACTGTGTTTGGAGAACATCTAAATGGGCTTCGATTCATGTAGAATGGAGGAGCTCTTTGCTCAGTCCAAAGCTATGATTAAATACATCAGAGATGAGGACATTACATCTGCTCTTTTTAAAATGTGCCAGAGGTGAACTTCCCTTAAGTTCCTTCTCACTTTCCTTTTCCTCACTCATGTGGCTCTGGTTTCACCAAAGTAAACTATTGTTCATCGAAACACAAAGCTATAGAATGGCTAACTGTTTAAACATGTGAAAGTGTGTGTGGCAGCACAAACACACACCGCTGATTGTTGACAATGAAAGATGTTACACAGGTCTGTGTAAAACCGTATTAATCAGAGTGTTGTGTGCTTCAGTTTCACATGGTTTTTAGGTGGTGTATCTTTAAAATACAAAATGGCTCAAATCTCTTACTAAAGCCTTCATAACCAACACCACTTTGTGTTCTTGTTTTTCAGGAATTGCGGCAATGTGTTCTGTAAAGACTGTTGCCATATGAAGCTGCCCATTCCGGACCAGCAGCTGTACGACCCAGTGCTGGTGTGCAGCATCTGCCACGACCACCTGCTCCAGTGTCGGACCCGGGACATCCGCAGCCAACAGCTCAAAAAGCCCATTGCCACAGCCTCCAGTTGAAAGTCGGCTCCTGTAGAATCTGGCTTCCTCCGATGTATTTTGGGGGACTGCTGCACTGCCACTGGCCTCTGGCTGCTGTGGACTTTACTGTGCACGAGCACCGTGTACAGGCGCCGTACTGAAGAGATGCACTATGGGACGGCACACAGGTTCATGAGACACAGAGGGTTCTCCAACAGGACGTTTGAGCCACGAGGTTCTGCACCTCGGCCTCCAGCTGTATGTCGCTGTGTAGGCTTTAAACCCAGCAGAGAAACGCCGGGTCACTCTGCAGTGGACTTCTGTGGTTTAAAAATTAGAGTTGCTGCTACAATATTTAAAAAAAATAATAAATATATATATATAATTTTTGTATTCTTATTTTGTGCACTACAACATATTGTGTATTTGAGACCAAACCTGAGCAAAAGGGAGAATTTTGTTGTTTACTGGTCCTTTTTCTTTTTTTTTTTTCCTTCCCTTGGAGCCTGAATGTATTTTATTTGTTGATGGGTTAACTGGACGTTATTGTGCATTCAATGGTAATTTGTCCAATACTACAATGTGTTTGCAACATCATGTGCTGTCAATTTGATCCCCTCTTACCGCTTCTCTCCCCTAAAGTAAACTTTCAACATTTCATGGTATTGGAGACCGGTGTATTCATGCTGCATTCATGTTATGTGTGAGTGTGTCCAGAACTAAAGGGGTCAGAGGGTCATGAAGAATTTTGGCAGATTTGGGACTTGCTGCTGTTCTCCGCTGTCTGGAGTCTGGCTTGCCACTTCAACAGACACAAGTTTGTTTTTTGTTTTTTTTTCAGGGGCTACTCTAAATGTTTGTCTACTGGTTGTAATGTTTGAGATAATTGTGCCATATTTTGTCAGATGTTTTAAGCCTTTGTTGTTGGCAAGTTTTCCATCAGGCACCTTAGTTCTATTCCAGCTGCTAAAAGAAACATAAAATGATTCATTGTATTATGTGGTCAACTTTCTTGATCGTATTGACACAGGTCACAATGTGAAACAAACAGGCTGTACCATAGTTCTCTCATTTTGTAGTTCTGGCTAAAGTTAGTCACTTACCTGTAAAGAGTTGCACTGTCTAAGATGAATTCCACGGGTTAAAATTAAAAGATTCTTATGATCAGAACTCCTGTCTGTCTTTGTGTTTTATATACAAACTGAAAATAAATCTTTAGCTTGTCAAGTTATGTGGTACCACTGAAAAATGGAGTACAAACATTCAGCCATCTTATGTCTTCTTATGACATCTTATGACTTCCTGGTTCAATACTGTATTCCCAGATGTGGGTTTACCATTATCAACATGCCTTAAAACCTGGACACTTTTTCACACAATATGGATGTCATAAAGTCCATTATTTTACACATGCATTTGGCTTCTGTCACATTGAAAAGCTCATGTTTAATGATATGAAGACAAAATGCTACACAACACTTTCTGCTGAGATAAATTACATGTATTTTAGGTATAAGTTAGGTACTCTAGCTTTAAAGGGACTGTATGTAAGATCTGTGTATGTGACAAGTGAATTTGGTTTCAAATCTTTTTGGCCTTTTCCAGTAGAGATGTTAAAGGTGATTTATTACAAAAACGATGTACATGATAGAGACAATGTTCACTTTAGTTCTTGAGCTGATTGTCCAACCAGAGGGCACAACTGTGGTTTGGGGTTTTCAATCCTGCACACTCCCTGGTGCATGTCTGTCCACCACCTCACATCATTTGGATATTTGGTATCTTCATACCCGTGTGTGTGTGTGTGTGTGTGTGTGTGTCTTCATCTGACTCTCATGAACATTGTACAGTGGTGCACTTGCCTAAGCTTTGTGGCTGGTTATGTTTGTCCACTAGATGGCGTTAGTGTGTTTGCAATGACGGGCTCTCCACCTGACAGTCACGTATCTCTAGAATAGATTTCGGCATGACAAAGCTACTCATTAATAATGCCGTGTTTAATGTAAAGTGCGGTGTTGTCGTTAACAGCTTCCTTTGGAGCGATGATGTGAGGCTCATTTCCATCTGTGAAAGCTCTGCTGAAACCCTGCTCTCTGCTTCACAAGTGCAAATGTTACACTTGGAGCTCTTTCTTTCTGGTGCCTGCTGTTCCCACAAAATGGAAATTGTGACAATCCTGCGGATTCTTACCTTGAATTAATCGCAACATTACGACAGGAAACTGATTCCAACTTTAGAAAGTGTTTGGTTTTCGAACAGCAATGTTCCTGAAACACAACACATCACTGTGTTTCAGGAGGAGATGGACAACAACCACTTAAAGGAGGACGTCCTCACACTGTGGGCCTGTGACAGGTGGACCTGTGTGGAAGGGCCTGCGGTGACCTGTGGAGCCCGTCATTGATGCGGATAAGAGAGAGTTGTGTGAGTGATTCCAGCCTCACACTTATACAGAACAGTATGGGCTGTGTTTGCTCTTGGTGCATGGCCTGTGTGCGTCGTGAGGTGAGGCGCTTTATTGGAGCTGATGGCCCAAAAGAGGAGGAGCCTGTTCTACTTTCTTTCCCATGGCTGCGCTGATGGATAAGTAGAAGACCCCCTGCAAGAATGCCATCATATTGGAAACAAGTGCCCATTGTAGCGAGTGCTGGCTCCATCTGTCGAGATGCAGCTCCTCTTCAGTCTCGCACTGCTCCTGTTTCTCACTCTGACTGCAGAGGCCGGAGGTAAGGCACTTTCAATATATTCTGCTGCATATTCACAGATATATTGTATTATGTATTGTAAGTGACGTTTATCGTCAATAACAATCATTATCAGTGGTATTCATGTCTTAGTTATATCTATACATTTAGACATTTATTTGTACAGGTAGTTTTCTGGTTGTGTTTTCTCTTCATGTATACCAGAATAAATCACAGCCACCAGTGAAAATCTAAATGATTCTTGGCTACGCGTCTAATAAGTGTTTGATAACACCCCTGGCGAGATGCAATGAGCTAAAAAGGCAACTACACATATCAAGGGACTTTTTATACAAATTATTGCTAAGGAAAGGAATGAAGCTGCGGGGAAAGTGACGCGTCTGCACCTGTGTTTACTGAGCCCCGTGTGATGCCTCCCGCTGTGAGGTCCCGGTGTGAGGTCCCGCTGTGAGGTCCCGGTGTGAGGTCGTGGTGAGAGGTCCCTCATCCCGCAGCAGGTGATGCTCACGGACACGGAGGAGGTTGATCTCCCGCTGCAGCCTCCCGGCGACCCGCTCCCCATCTGCCCGCTGTTCTGACGCCGACATGCGGCTCCAGAGTCCTATCCAAAGTCCTCAAAGGACAGGGCACTTGTCCAGTGAGAGCGGCCTCAGAAGCTGCGCTCCCGCGGGTCATTCACTCCGGGGGCTGCGTCTGTCACTGAGGCGTGAGAGCCCAGGCCATTTCCGCCGCATTCAGCTATGAGGGATCGAACAAACACATTTGATTGACATCTGGCCTTTCTCTTTCTTTTTGATGATTTTATCGAATTGTTTCTGGCTCCCCACAGCGGCTTTGTGACAATCATTCAAAGGAGTCACTCTATTGCACGGAAGCGTTAGAAACCTGTTTGTTTTCGTTTCATTGCCTTTTGTTTCAGGCCAATTTCCTCGAGTTTTGTCTTTTTGGCAGCGTGCATTCGACATTCAAGAGCATTTATATTGTTAATTTCCCCCGTTTCCACGAGATCAAAGCAATGCGCTGATTGGCCAGGAGTTATAGCGGATAGCGATGTGATTGGTTAGAAAGCTGGATGATTGTCCTGCAGATCCGTGCACGAGGAGCCGTAGTTCACAGCAGAGTTTGATCAAAGGTGTCAGGTAATCCCCAAGAAACACGTGGTTTGTAAATGGAATCATTCAGGAAACCCTCTCCCGCAGCCAAACTCCACTTGTTGATTATTATCACATCTATTTATAGTTTAGCGCAGCGGCCAGCACGGAACACCTCCATCTTACACATATGTATTACTATTTGAGTTGCGATAAAGAAAAGTGACTATATCAGTTAAATGATAAATATGGCAAATGTTTTTCCAACGGCTCTGTTTATTTTGTACAAACAGATAAGATAAGGCACAACCTCTGCACGTGAGGAGGGAGCACATATTTACCTTACAGGAAAGGGGGCCAGACTTTTGTTCATAATATAATAATAATGCATCGGTTTTATATAGCGCTTTTTTGGACACTCAAAGACGCTTCACATGTTATTATTCTTTCACTCCATACACGGTGGTGATAAACTACTACTGTAGCCACAGCTGCCCTGGGGCACACTGACAGAAGCGAGGCAATCAGTATGCGCCATCGGCCTCTCCAACCACCACCAACCATTCACACACACACACCAGACTCATTCTAGGCAATGGGGGTGAAGTGTCTTGCCTAAGGACACAACGGCAGTTTGGCACTTTATAGCCGCAGCCGCCCCACTGTGGCTGGTGTTCCCAGAGATTAAGTGTCTTGCCAAGGACACAACGACAGCAGACAGTGGGAGTCGATGGTGAAAGTCTTGAGGTGGGCTCGAACACACGACCCTCAGGCTCAAAGGCCAACGCTCTACCAACTGAGCTACTGTCACCCAATTATATTATTTTATGATATCACGAAATGCATGTCTTTGGGTTGTTAACTTTTGTCACCAGGGGTCAGACATGTTTTTTATATTTACTTGACTTGTTTCAAGTCACTCATGAGTTGTTTCTGTGTCAGATTGGTGTTACCAGTCCCAGTTCACCTGTGATCATCAGTGTAAGAGTAAGTATTTCATTTATCATTCGTCTTTTCAGGATAATTAGGCAGAAACGAATTTGTTTTTCTGTTTCAGCACCAAATCTATGGAACAACGCAGACAGTGACTGCGCCGGAAGATTTCAGTCTCCAATCAATGTTGTCACCAGAAAAACTCTACCTGACGAGCGGCTCACAGCGTTCAAGTTCAGTGACTACCAGAAGATCTTCAGCGGCTCCATCAAGAACAATGGTCACTCAGGTAACCTCTTACTTCATTGTGTGCTGTAACGTCAACCAAAGCCTTGTGTGAGTTGTGTTTGGCCCCTCAGTCCAGGTCCAAATTCCTCACGGCAGCACAATATCAGGAGGAGGCCTGTCCACCACATACAAAGCTGTGCAGTTCCACCTGCACTGGGGCGCCAGAGGGGGGCCCGGTTCAGAGCACACCATCGATGGGGAACAGTATCCCATGGAGGTAGTTTCACTGCAATCACATTTAATGTGGTGGATATTACCAAATATGCTCAATAACAAATCAATAACACAGAATGTGTGATTTCTGTGACAGCTGCACATAGTGCACATGAAGCACCGTTATACTGACCTGAACACAGCGCTGAAAGACCCAGAGGGGGTGGCAGTGCTGGGGTTCTTCTATGAGGTGCACACTTTATGTGATTTTTACATCATTCATTGTTTGATGGCAACAATAACAACATCATTATTTTGGATTTTAGAAATCGAACAGTGCAAATAGAAAATATGACCCAATTATCAGTTCACTACAAAGCATTACAGAAGCGAGTAAGTATAAAGATTGTAAAACGTGAGCACTGGTACAATACAGAGCAGTATAATCACATATAATGTCTGTCTTCAAGATAAGACCACTTCAATGAAGCCTGTATCGCTGACTCAGCTGATTCCTGCTGAGCAGAACTTGACCAGTTACTACCGATACAAGGGCTCCCTGACGACACCCGGATGCACCGAGTCTGTGGTCTGGACTCTGTTTGAGAGTCCGATCCCCCTCAGCAGTGACCAGGTGACTGCACTGCAGACAAACATAGTTTTAATAATGAATGACTCATAAACAAACCTTTTTCTGTGCTCTCGTAGCTCAAGGCATTCTCTGACCTGAAATTCCATGATGGCAAACCAATGGTGGACACATTCAGACCGGTGCAGCCTCTGAATAACCGGCAGGTGTTCCGCTCCAGTACCACAGCGGTGATCGCCAGCGCTGCTGTCCTTGTGGTGGCTCTGGTAGCAGCACTGGGGATGTCCCACCTCAACTAGAGAAGGACATCCTGCAGAGCCGCGTCTATATACGTCCATTCCTTCATCAGCTGAACTTTGGTTTGTTACATATCGCATGGTTGCTAAGAAGACGAATAACCTCATCATCAGGGCATGGACTGTGTGGTGCTCCTCCACATGACACACATGACAAAGGTGTCCGAGCACCTTATGAACAGTGTCATGGCTCAGTACCTGTGCATGCAAAGTGACCTAGTGTCGTTTCAGCATTATGAATGTGCCATAAACCTGACAAAGACAAATGAACTCATCTGAGCAGCACACCTGCTCAAACCACCTTCATAACCACCAGCACCTCCTCCTCCCTGTCCAGTGTCAGGTAAATGTATTCTCCGCTCGTGTGGGACGCGGCTTCTGCTGCGAGCGCCTCTGTAGTGTAATAACCTGGTGTATTAGTAGCCCTTGTGAATGGCACAAGCTAATAATAGCAAAACTCGAAAAGTCATGCATCTACAGTATTTCTATGGCAGTGGTCAAAGGTGTCAGCAATTTGGTTCTGTTTCAAAGTCCAGGAGCAAAGATCACTGGACGCCACACACAACAGGCTGCGAGTCAGAAGTGGGAGCAGAGGGCATTTCCACCGCCACATTAATCTTTAAGCGCACACAAGCAGAATACTTTTGAAGGGATGGAAACCAGTTTAGAAAGAGCACAAAACGCAGCAGCACTTTTGTAACACGCCACTGCCCCTTTTTATGTATCATGCTTATACTGTTTGAAGTCAGGTTTTTGGTTATTAACATAAACAATTTGTATTCTATTCCTAACCTGAAAGACTATGTTCATGGGATACAAGGCGCCGAATGCACTGAATGTTTTTGACTGTGAAACCCACTCCAGCCGTCCAGTTTATATTATGGATGATTTGTTAAGTATTTCAGTGAGACATTTGTGCAATCTGTCGGCAGAATCGAACAAGCCAGAACTATATATTTTCCATTGTAACTGCTGTAACTGAACACATGTATTTATGAACAGAATGTTTAGAGGCACAGTGTTATTTATGTTTTGCCTGTGTTGTATTAAATGCATATAAGAAGAATATATTTGATCAATCAAGTTCACTCTTCAAGCACAACTGTGTAAGTGGCAAGTGTGAATCCTTGAACGTGTCTGAGAATGTGTTCTAACTGAACAATAAACAACTTTGCCTTTTTTAAACGATTTTTTTTACATTCATGTCAAGACGATACATTCGCCCGCGTAAGCCTCCCACTCGCTGATAAAATGTGAACTATGTGAGCTTCACTTGATCTCAAACTTCTAATCCTTTTCTAATTGATTTGTTCTCATAAGACCACTTTATTTCAGACCGCTGTATTTCACAACTACCGTATCATATGCATCGATTTCAAAGGCATCACCGCTTTAACACATACATCGTGTCCAGAGCATTTCCAAGTTACCTGTTCTCCCATGAGTCCTGAAAAGAGAAAGGGTATTATGTGATGGATGGGCTGCACCAAAGGCTCCAACAAAAGCCTGAATGAATACCCCACTCTTCTCCTCTCCTTCCACCTCTTTCAGAATGTTAAAACATCCTCAGCATCCAACGATACCCACAAGGGATCCAAAGAACTTTCCAATTGGCAGTGCTGCTTTGGTTCTCACTATAGACAGGGCCAAAGTTACCCTGGTTACTCTGGTCGGTTTCCCTCAAATGCCCTCAGGACACCGGTGTGAGCTACAAAGAGCCCCATTCTCTGAGGGCAGCTCCACGCAGAACATGAGCATCTTTGAAACATGCTGCGCGCCCATCAGATAGAGCTCACAGAGGAGGGGTCAGAGGGCCAGGCTTTGTGCGAGCGGTGTGGAGATAAACAAACACTGTCACCTTTGCCTTGTATGTACGTAAGTCAGGTTCTTATATGTCTCTATATAGAATGCCGTCTTTTCTCTCAAATGCACTTGGTCTTTTTGTCGCAGGTGCATCCAGTGTATCACAGTAAAATAAAACTGAAGTCCGTTGTGATTCTGTAGGTCATTGTAGGGTATATGTTTGTTCATTTCAGTTCAATTCAAATAACTTTATTTCTCCATGAGGATCTTCATTTGCAGACAGAGCACCAGTGGGGATACATAAAAGCACAGAAAAACAACATATAAAACACACAAAACAGATCATAATTTGCTTCAGCCGAAACAGACCATCTCCCGATCAGCTGTTTAAAAGGCGGATTGAAGTCGGGAGGAAGCTGGATGTGGCCCTTTTAGTTTTTAAATGGGAGGGACCTGAACCTACGCCCTGATGGAAGCAGACTGTGTGAGAGCTGTCTGTGGAGATCTGGCCTTTCCTCAAACCTTTTTTATTTTATTGTAAATGACTGTGAGTGAGTCTTGCTGCTGTCCAGTGATTCTGCTGCTGATTTTAATGTCAAAGGGAGGGAATCGAGGGAATTCCTATGTGTGAGAAGGAGAGAACCAAACCAAGCAGTGATATTAAAAGTGAGAATTGATTCAATGAAGAATTTGTCAAAAACTTGTGAATTTGAAGTTTGCAGAGTTTACGAAGAAAGAATAGGTGCTGTTGACATTCAGAGAAGATAAGTTTGGTATTTTACTGGAATGTGAGTTTATGGGCGTTTATGGTGTCAAGATATTTTTTATGAGTTAACGTTTTGTATGGGGTCATTGTTGACAGTGAGTGTGGGAGTGAGGGAGGCCATGATTTAGGTAGGATGTATGTTATTTGTCACCAGCAGGTAACTTTGACTACTTCAGTGATGTTTGATGTTCTCTGGTCACCCGGGACCAAAAAGAGTGAGGCAACTTTAGTTTTTCTCCTCCTCGTCTGTGGAACACTCTATATACAGTATGAAGGTAGTCCTATGAGAACAATAGGGGGTTTAAACATGCTAAACGTATCAAAACATGTGTTATTGTTCCCCATCATTCTTTCTGTTTGTTTGTGAAGCACCCTGTTGCTTCTGCATGAATTGTGCTTTAAGAATAGATTTCACATACTACCTTCAGTTTGTTGACGTTGACGAACTTTTCAATCCCCTCGAAACGGCAGCAGGTCCTAAGCAGCTCTGAAACAGTTGTTGTTTTGTGCTTTACAATTGTTATTTTTCTTGCTTTTTTTTAACCTGAGATGTTGCTGCAGTACAGTGTTCATGGTTTTACACTGGTCCAGACCAGAGCGGAGAGGATTCATGGTCCGAACCCAGCGGATCAGGTCAAAATCCACTGGAGGAATGATCCCTTTTGAAAAATGCGAATGAAGCCTTCAGCATTTTACTTTGGACTAGAGCAGAGAAAATGGTCCAAACCCAGCAGCTACACACCTCTGCTGCTGTGACCTAAAGTGCTTTTCAGAATGATCAATTTATTTGTTTTATCGGTGTGTATGGATGTGTTTTGCTAATACTGGAGACCTGAATTTCTCCTACTGGGATCAATAAAGTATCTATCTATCTATTTATTACACTTCTGCATAATTCAGACACACCTTAAATGTGTTTTCTCCTGCACATTTAAGGTGAAAACAATTCCAAGCTTACCTGCTGTGCACAATAAAAAAATAAATCTACACATTGCAATAAATCATCTCTTCTTTTTCTCGAGTTTACAAAAGAAAATCCATGGCATAAAGCACCCATGTTTTCAGTTTCCAAAAGGATGTAAAGCTTAATTGTTTTGCAGCACTTCAGATCCAATTACAGCAGGTTAAAGGTTGCCACGGTCATTGGGGACATGGAGGATGTGCTCCTGGTGCTCCTGCAGACACACTGTAGGTCTACTGTTGGGGAGCGCTCAAACCATCACTGAGTTTCTCAAAGTGTAAAGACCTCTCTGGAGCAGTGTAGACCATAGCACTCTCTCACTTATGAAGCTACACCACAAAACAAACAACAAATCACTGACACTTTACCGTACTTTAGATATAAGTGTTCTTAACTGGACTCAATTTAAAATGCAATGGTCCTTTAAAGTCACAGATCAGTTTCAAATAAGTGCACACTCATTTGTCATTTCAGCATCAAAAAAGAGTCATGTGTCCAATAAGTTATCTAACCTTTTATTTTACCTTCATGCTACAGTACTTTACAGTTCCACCACAACCTGTTACAATCTGAACAAACGACAACACTCAACCTGCTACTCTGATAGACAAGTATCACTTTCACTTTTCATACTTTCAGTCTGTTCTAGGCTTCTGTGTTTTACATACTTTTTAACTGTGATGGTGTCACTGTGATGTAGCACTTGGCGTCTCGCACAGCACGGCCTCATCACGATAGAGAAATGTCTTCCATGTATTGTTCCTATAAAGGCTCAGGTGGGTCCTGTCAACAGATGTGACTCAAAGCCAAAACTACACACACTCACTGTACGAGGCCCACTCACCTCTGACGCGGGAGGAAGGAAAGAGGAAATTATTTAAGACTCATTCTCGTCCCGTTAGTTTGTGCTTTCAGCTGCTTGTCATTCAAACGAAGGAGCCCATTTCTCAGGTCACTGCACTTTTACGGCCAGTGTGGATCATATTCGACTTCTTCAATTTTACGCTGAATTAGGCACCCTGGTTTCAAAGTGAGTGCAGCCACAAGAATTGGGGGATAGTGTTACTGGCCTGTTATTGGCCAAGTAAAACATTTAAAGTCCTAAATGTGTCTGCATAACTGTAATCTATAACAATTAATGTGGTGCCAAGTATTTATTTGGGCTGTTAGATACCCACATGTTACCACTGCATCATGGCTGTATTATAACAATCTGACCAGTCAACACGGCCTCTCAAATATCAGCTCCATTCAGCTTTTTGCCTGTGTCCTCGACCTAGAGGGCACTTGGGGCATCTCTTTCCCCTGCCTCTGCTGACTTTGTGCCGATTCAACGAAAGGGCAAGTTCAAAGTTATCAGCCCTCAACGCCTCTATCCCCCTAAAACAGACATATTTGTTTGTGTGCGATCAGCTCCTATTGGCTGTCCTAATTCTGTCCCAACTATGCAGAGAAGATGATAACTCATGTCAACATCAATGACATTATTCTGTCTTAGAACTACACATGATAGGACTCTAACAGACTGAGATGTGGCTTTTTGGAATGAAAGAAAGTGCATTAGTTCACAATGACAATACGTTGAGACGCGTTGGCTAAAAATAGCCTTTGTTCTTAGTCTGAAAAGACAGTCTCTATCTCCAAAGTCAAGAGGCAGGAGTAAAAATAGTGCTAAGTCTATATATATTTCAGTATGACTTATTTAGATGATCCTTTTGAAGAGGTAAGACTGCATGCTCCGCTGCCTTCTCGTACTGGATAAAGCCGCAGACAAACACAAACATCCACATCAAACTTGCATGGCCACTGTCTTTCACCTCTTACTGCTATATTTTGTCTCTGCAGCTGTTGGCATTTGGCCTGGAGCCATTGATTCACTTATTTATTTGATCCCAGATTTTGCCATAAGTATCGATTTATACAGCACTTTTTACAGAAACATAGTCTATTCTGTTCACTTAACTAAAAGTGAAAACAACGGATCCTTCTGAAAGACTTCTCGTGTCGTGTCTGGATTCTCTTGGCAGGACTTTTGGCTGCCATAAAGATGATTGCCACAAGGTGGAGGGCCCCCAAGCTGTCTTGCTGTGACTGGTTGACTCATGTTGACATTGTTTACAAGGATTTATCCACAGCACGTATCCACGATAAAAAAGAGGCTGATAACGGCTCCAGTGAATACGTCTGTAACTAATGTAAAGCTGTACTTCACCAATATTCTTAGAATATATTTAGGTAAAAAACACTTCATATCGAGAAACCTTTCAACGTGATGTCTGAGTAAAAAATATTTGGAAAGGATTCTAACGAAATATCTTTTCCTGAATTACTGCTGTTTTTTTCCCACATTTGTGTTGCCATTTTTACAATAATAATGTGTGGGTTAGTTCTCCAAACATCAGGCTCTTGGATTATTAATATTTAGCATTTGCACATCCTGCCGTCAATTATTCCCAAGAATAGGATGAGATTCTGTCACTGACTGGACAGAAACATGATGATTATTTATAAAACAAAGGGCGTCAGTCATATGCATTATTTGTGGCCCAGGCCTGACCTGACAGTGTGATGTCAGTCATGTCATGTTACTGTACAGAACAAGCGCCCTGTGCCTTTCCCACTGGACAGAAACCCCGGCCCCCGCTCTCCTCACGCAGCCTCAGACCAATCATCGCTACATACACTTTTAACATGGAGTCATTTGCCCTATTCAAGGCAAATGACAATCTGTCAGGTTTTCAGAAAAGTAGGCCTGATTAGAGGCTCTCCCTGCTGCTGGCTCTCCCTGCTGCAGGCTCTCCCTGCTGCTGACTCTCCCTGCTGCTGACTCTCCCTGCTGCTGACTCTCCCTGTTGCTTACTCTCCCTGCTGCAGGCTCTCCCTGCTGCTTACTCTACCTGCTGCTTACTCTACCTGCTGCTTACTCTACCTGCTGCAGGCTCTCCCTGCTGCTTACTCTACCTGCTGCTTACTCTACCTGCTGCAGGCTGTATCCTGATGGACAGTGACAGAGCGAACTCATTACATATGAATCAACACATGTAGACAACAACACAAATTGCAGAACACAATAGAAGAACAAAATCTGAAGTCAAATGTGACTACATTGTCATTTGTAACTCATATAGGCGCATGCAAATGGTCAACCAAATTGTAAGATTGTAAGATCGCCATGGAAACTGTTTTGAGTTTGTGTAGATGCCTTCTCACTCACAACATCATAGGTTGGAGAAGTTGAATTGTGGCATCTGGTTCCAGATAAACTGAAAAATGAATAGATGATAAAGGTAAATGTGCACTTTTCTACATCCCTGTAGGGACAGGGCATGTGACCCATCCTGATGCCACTAGGGCGTCTGTCAGGAGCAGTGGTCGCTGTAGACCAGCACCCAAGAACCCATCTCCAAATGTTAGTGCTTGGCCTGGTCAGGACTGGAGGACTTACTTATTGTGCATGTTTTTAGTGGTAGAGGAAACTGGGAGACCCAGAGAAAACCTGTGCAGACACGGAGAGAACATGCAAACTCCACTCAGAAAGACAATGTTTGGACTGGGATTCAAACATGAGACCTTCTTGTTGGATTCTTATTCATTTTGATGAATAAGAATCCATTGAATTAATACGTTTCATTTCATTTCATTTCATTTTCTACCCCTTAATACATACTAAACTAAATCCACACTGCAACTGAAAAACATCCTCCAAATCTAAAACAAATGAATGAGTTTGGAAAGTTCATTAATTAGGCACAATGAAGCCTCAGTGCAGACGACTCATGTTTTTACACGTTCTATGGACAGAAAACAATTCCTAAACAATACACAGACTAAACCATTCATGATGTAAAATATTATGATAGAGTGTGTGACGTGTAGTGAAGTGCCAATCAAACGGCTGTTTGTTTTGCGGTGTATGGAGCAGGGCTGTAGCTGTGGACCCCTGACCCCGACTATTGTGTTCCGAGGTTGGATTCTGACCAGCACTGACCGCAGCCGCTGGAGGTGATGACTCCGTGAGGCTCTCGGGTAAAACATACATCACACATCATCATGATCAAAGAGAGGATGTGAGATAAGGACTCTGCAATCAAGTTTGTTTTCAATTAGCTTGTGCGACATCTTCTGAAATACTACTTTTTAATAAGCCGCTGCATATCTTGGAAGCTGACACTAACTGAGCTCATGATATTTCGCATTCTCTTTTAATTAAAAGGTTTGAGATGTTTAATGATTTAATACAAGTTTAATGTGTTGACAAAAGCATGTTATTGCAGCTGATGTTTAAGTTTGTTTGTTGTAGATGATCTATGAGCAAGGCCATTCCTTTCTCATGGTTGCAATGCTCTTCCCACCAAACCACAGTCTTCCACACCTCTGGAGTGCAGGTGGTGTGGGTTAGAGATGTTCTCAAAGTTGGTTGGTTTAAAACTGGCATTTATGGATCTATTTCAGCCCTAAACCAGGTCTAATAATGTGAGGGCTATAATAATGTGGACAAAAAAGCAAAATCTTGTATCAGCACCATATTCATGTGAAAAGTTGAACTGCAGAGGCACCGAAGCAGCACCACAATGAGCTCAGGTACAGACGGTAAAGTTGGTGCGCTCTGACCTAGTTGTGCCTTTCTTTGCCAGATGGATATTTCAACTTCAACCAAAGTCTAGATAAGATGTGAATAGTATTCCATTGTACCGGCAGCTGGATTATTGATAAGTAAAGGGACTTTAGGTCATAAAGTATTTATTATTTGAGAGGTGAAACATTTACTGACTTCTCAAATTACATTTATATATATATATATATATATATATATATATATATATATATATATATATATATATATATATATATATATGTACACAAACCTTTCGCCCTCCGTGGGCGGTTATCCTTCTCTAAGCTGGGGTCCTCTACCAGAGGCCTGGGAGCTTGAGGGTTCTGTGCAGTATCTTTGCTGTTCCTAGCTCTGCACATTTCTGGACCGAGATGTCCGAGGTTGTTCCGGGGATCCGCTGTAACCACTCTTCTAGCTTCAGGGTCACTGCCCCGAGTGCACCGATCACCACGGGCACTACTGTCACCTTTACCCACCAGGCATTTCTCAAGCTTTTTGTGTTCTTTTTTCCTGATGTTACCATCGCTTGGAATTGCCACGTCATATATACATATACAGTATATTGTATACAGGTCTTGTTATCTTTGAAGAGAAATAATCTCATTTACCAGCGGCCCCCTGGTGGAATGTCTCTCCAGTGTGAGCTGAGTCCAGGCTCCAGTGATTATGTGAAAACAAAGAGCATCTTGAGATTTGTAAAAAAGCATTGACATCACATATTAAAACACCATCCAGAAAACAGCACCATACATGTGGTACATATATGATATTAATCCACTCACAAACACATGAAGCTGTTCAGTGAAGCTGTTTATTATCTCATGGCTGCAATATAAATCATGTCCTAACTCCATGTAAAAGTGTTTCCCTATTCAGCCAGTCCCCTCTTCAGCTTTACATGCTTCACCATTTACTAATAACTTTTAAAGTTGCAAAATGACTATCATATATGATGGTGAGGGACTTTTTGTTTGTGTGAGTGTGTGATCTGTGTGAAGCCTGTGATTCACTTTTGATCGGTTGGGTGTCTACAAAAAAAATATGTTTTTTGAGAAAATCTTTGTCAAATATCCTGCTGTTTTCTCTGTCTCCGGTTTGGTGTTTGCTACATCGTGGCAGTGTTTCTGCCGTCACCACATGGGCTGTGGTGCAGTGGTGGTGCGAGCCGGACGTTTGCAGTTGACCAGTGGAAAAGCTGAGTGCAACGATTCTCAGACTTGGTTTAGTAATAAGACAAATTGTTTGCAACCATGGGACATTTTGGATGAAGTAATAATATGAGGAAGTGTGGGAATTTGTGAATGAAAATAGTGTTGATAGTAACAGAAATGACGAAAAAACCACAGGAAAGTAGGGAGGCGCCATTTGTTGTCAGGGGGAAAGGTAGAGACACCTTGTCGTTAGCGAGACAATGAGAGCGACGAGTGCCGTGCTGCAGCCGCCCTGGGCCTGGACGCTGACTCACAGGCCCCACGGACTTCACAGTCGCACTTACAAATGACCCTTGTTACTGCTGGGAATTGGCAACTACTTCTGAGGTACTACGCCTTCAGTGAGCTTGTGATCAAAACTGATAATGTCTAAACAAATGACCAGTGTATTGTATGATTCTATTTGATTCCAAGCAAGCAGCCAACAAGGCTTTGTCACGAATCATACAAACTCAAACTGTATTTCCTGTGTGATCACGTCTTACATTTTGTTTGCAAGGAAACGTTTCTGTTATCCAGGGCTGTGGCGAGTGAAGAATGTTCACGTAAGCCCCACGACAGTATGCACTGGCGCTTTGTTCAGCTCAAACAATACATGCCATACCTGCTTCTCAGAAGGTGCTTTTGGGTCAGCTCTGGGAGACACCCCGCATCGTTGTGTTTCCATACTAAAAGACCTGGCCCTGGGTGTGGTGGCCATCTTTGTAGTCTGGGTTCCATGCCTGTAGTTCTGATGCGCAATAACGTCTTTTTAGCCTGATTCAATACACAGCTCTTTGTTCAATGCCTTCTACATGCGTGTCAATGCAGCAGTGGGTGAATTTTTAACCATGTTTGTTTAGACACTGTGGATTTGCCAAAACTGCCACCCTTTTGTTCCAGGAATTCCCGCAGCGCGTCTTCTGCACAATTTGAAAGGTGCAAGCAGGGTTTTTACAGCCTCATAGCCAGAACTATAACTTATAATATACTGTCTATGGTTTAACAACACACCATCGGGTGATAAGGATGATTCTAGGGAGCAGTGATTGCTCAAGCCCATGGGGTTCAAAGAAAGGTTGCCCATTCAAGTCAATAGCTGCGTTTTCACCGCAGGAGTTCCTGGTAAAAGGAGCGGGGTGGAACTTTTACAGGAACTTTCCTCTCCCTCAATCCTCTCAGTGTCTGTGTCTTCACTGCAGTAGGACCACTCAGCAATGTCATGAGTTTCGATTGCTGCATAAGCAAAACTCATTACGCAAAACTCGTTCTTATTATAGATCCATGCACCAAACCCATTTGTTTCATGGTCTTTGGGTTTTTTTATAGTCCTGCTTCAGTTTTTGTAAACTTTTCACGGCTTGTTTTGGAGTGTGATGAACCCCAGTGCTTCGAGGTGAAGCTGATAAATATATCTTTTCATTTCACCGCGATACCTCAAACCCTGATGCCGTGCTGTTGTTCGCTGTTTCCAGTGGTGTCTGTCAGGCTAATGCTGCTTTCTGCTGATGTCAGAGCCTGTGCTAGCTTTAGCCAATCTGCGCCGGGTTAACCTTAAGTCCCACCAGGGCCCAATGGAGTACCTAGCATGGAGGAGGGACTCCGTTGGGCCCTGTAAACGTTGCTGTAAATGGCCCTGTGGGGAAAGTTCCTGCAGTGGAGACACGCACCGATGGGGCTGGCCCTGGAAAATTGCCCCAAAGTTCCTTCGGTGGAAATGCGGCTAATGGCCTGTGGTCATTGGTACATGTCGCACCATCTCAAGCAAAAGTGGAATAGCCTTCTTCTCTGCTGGAGACCAGTTGGCAATACCCTGTACAGATAATACTTGCTACATTGTACAACAGTATGTACAATGGCTTGTAGAGGTACTACATAATCAACACCTGTGAAGTGAAAGAAAAATTATGATTTTCGTATTTTTCAATTTTTATTTACACAAAAACTGTGGCTTGCACATGTTCACATTTTTTGAAAAACAGATTTACTGTAGTTGTATTTATCACATACAAGTCAATGTACAGTCAACAACAAATCTAAATGTGTTTGTATGAAAAAAAAAAAACTATTCTCAATAGATTAAAAGATCTCACACAAGATAAAATAGATTAGATATACTATAAGTTGCACTTTTGCCCGTCATAAAGTGCTGGTGCTTGAAGTCTTGAAGCAGTCTGACAATAATAACAAGTCTTAACATAACATGAGTGTATAAGAGTAAGTCACAGCATCTCCTGATGCTGCTTGGTCCAAAAGAAGTAAGAGGTGAAGTTGTGAAGAAGTTTAATGCCGTGTTAAGTAAAACAGTTACACAATTATTAAGCACACTCTAAAAACCTCAGAGTCAATTTTTTGGAAATAGAGAAAGTATGGCACCACTGCAAACATGCCAAGACACGGTCAACCACTTAATGAAAGCTGAGCTGATCGAGGAGAGCACTGGTTAAAAATGCAACAATGGTGACTCTGGAGGAGTCCAAAGTCCTGCCAAGGTCACATGACATTCACCACCATTGGAGGTGATCTCATAAAGTCGATCTGACCACTCTGCCATTGTCAGGAGTAAAATTAAAAACTTGTCCTTTTTATTTTAACACACACTCTGCCAACTTCAGCCCAGGCAGGACACTTTATTTACTGAGTGCATGAAAGAGCTGTGACGGGTACAAATAAGCAGTTTACTACCTACTTGTGAACAAATAATACAATGTTAATGTAAATAATAGGACTAGATGGAAAGAAGCATAGAAATCAAATATATTAAACTTAAACTTAAATATATATGTACTATTTTGGATAAATCAAAATAATAATAAGACGATTTACTTTGTCCTTTCATGTTTTAGAAAGTGAAATATTAAACAAGTAACAAAGGATGAATAAATCCATAAAATTGTTATTTTCACATATTTTTTTCCAAATTCGAATATTACCGGCTGAAAACACAGCCGTTTTTTTTGTGAAGAATGTAATTTCATTTTATAAGCATCAATTTTGTTTTAAAAGGCAGAGAACAGCTCTGAGCGTGACACAATAACATCATGTTTTTACATGAGTCGTAACAGAAGCTTTTAGACAGAAGGGGCAGATGTTCATGCCAGCAGTCTGATGGAACTAAAAACTACTCCAGGTCTCTTTTGATGCGCGCTCCTTTAGCTTTCAAAAGACAAATGTTCAAAACAAAAACATGGATAAAGTTGTGGTGTAATGGATCATAGAAGTTATCTAAGGACAGGGGTAGAATAGAGCAAATAAAAACGTTTCCCACTCAGTGTAGTTATAAAATATTGAAGCAGAGCGCTGTATAAGGATCACTACAGATGTCTTACTTTAACAGCTACAACATCTGTTTTGACCTCTCAAAAAGAAAACACATCAACTAATAATATTTCTTACAGCAATAAATAATAGAGAGACTAGAGTTATTGCACAAATAGGCCTTTAATGGGTATCACAAACATGGACTTCTGGCGTGGGCGTGGCCAGTGTGATAAGAGTCGAATAGAAACTTGTGATGTTAGAATGACTGATTACTTTCTCCTGCTCAAGTTTTGTCCTGTTCGAATCCAGAAGAAATATGCTGTTGATGAGACGCTTGAGCTTCCATTTCTGTGGTGAGTTTGCATGCTCTCCCCGTGTCTCTGTAGGTTTCCTCGGGTTTTCCAGTTTCCAATTACCACTAAAAACATGTATTACCGTTCAAGGTGAATGAGTGTGCGTTTGTGAGTGCGAGTCTGGGACAACAGATGCAAATCAGCCCACCAAACCAAACCAACCAAATAAACAATACATTCAAATGAGTGCTTCTGGATTAGCAGACCAGAGAGGTGGTAGCTCTCTTCAAGATGGGGAACTGGAGGGTCCGTTCCAATTGGATGAGATGAGATGTACTTTATTATCTCACAATGGAGAAATTCAGTATCACACCCCCATCGGCCCGGGGTGGTATTGCAAGCATGTCAGCGCACGTCATTTTCGCCACTTTTGAGCCGGGACCCGCCCCCACTGGTTTGGACCAATACCAAATATAATGTTCAGGATTTCTACTGGGCTCTTTCACTTTTTCTAATTGTTAAAAATCTATGCGGCTAATATGTGTGAGTGTTTTATTGAGCTAGAGTTTATGGACTGGATTTTGACTCCATCAAGTCGTAGTAGTTATAGGACACTTGTTTATTGTCAAAATAGACTGGTGAATGAAGACCAGCATGGAAGCTATTGGTTTATCATTAGATTAGTTAAAAAGTTGTTAATCTGCTACATTGAAAACCTGCTTATAATGAGTGCAAGTGTATATGTGTGCAAAACTGAATTTATTTTCTTATATAATTTTTACCTTTTTCCTGAAACTGAGGAACTGCACATTAGTCCCTCTTGCCTAAAGACTTCAGATGGAAACCAGTTGTAGCTATAGGCACATTTAGAGTGATGTTGATGAGTTATGCTGATTCATGTGTACTGTTCCCATTGAATAAAACAAATCAAATAGAAAAACAGAAACATTTGTACCTTTGAAGCAGATAAGAATCTCGACTCCTTGTAACAATGCTAACACATGCATGAACTGTATACGTCCTGAATCCTCTCATCTTTTCCTCACAGACAGAAGAATGTGTGGCATCATGAGAACGGCTCCCCAGACATCCTCTCTCCGAGTAGTCCTGCTTCTGTTCCTACTTCTCCACACCAGCAGGAAGAGGAAAGCGACTGTTAGATTCAGACAAGACCAAATGAGGCACAACATTCGTTTATATTTAGCGTTTACAAAGACAACATTCATGTTCTAGTATTTAGACCAACTGCATACGTGTCTATGTACACATGAAGACAATCCCAAATGTGTAACTGTTTGGTTTTGTACTTTGTTCTGGGGTTAAAAGACCAGGCAGCACTGAATAAAGGGTCCAGACATTCACCTCGTCCATGACTCTGGGCCAGGATGTGAAAACAGGCAATGGATGCAGGTGTATGCACATTATCACGTATTGAAAAATATGATTTGAAAATAGCTTCATGTCACTGATTGTTCTCCTTGATATTTTCCAAACAGGAAATCTTTGAGTGAGTTTCTTAAAAGCATGACGAAGCTCAAAAACAGAGGTCATTTACAGAAAGAGGTGACCTGGCTTTTTCCCAGCTTTAGGGAGGCTGCTGTAGTCGTAGTAGTAGTTATTGTTGTTGTTGAAATATAGTACACTGATTAAACTCGGTAGAAGCTGCTCTTGCCTTGGCATTATTGCAAAAGTGACTGTTGAGGAATGTGATTGAGGGACCCTGTTGTCCAGCTGAATAATCCAGAGATAAAAGTATTTTCTCAGCTGAGCATCTCGGGTCACCACTCAACTCATGAGACCGCTGCGGGAGATGGACCTCAGCTCCACGAGGTCCAAGAACAACACATTCATTTGAAATCTCATTGAAACTATGACACAATCTGTCAATTCACCCATCCCATCAAACTTGGGTCAGAGGTCAATGTGTGAGAAAAATATCTCTCACAAATGATTCCATTGCAGGTCCAAGGCTTGATTTCATTATGTATTTTAACGCCTTGCATGATTTTAGTGTTTTTTTTTCTTGTTTTATCCAGCACTTTAACTTGCTTTGTGTGAACTGTGCTATACAAATAAACTTGCCTTGCCTTTTCCTGGGCTTGCCTCTTGACATCCTCGGCACAAAGACAGCAGAACATTTGTTATAGATGGTCCCCTTATGGTTAATGTTGCAAACAGGGATGTCATGGTAGTGGAGAGTAATGTGGATAATTCCGTGTTCTACCCAACCTTGGATTTGATTGGGTCATGGTTAATGAAGCATTCTAATTCACATGTTGATGTCTTTGTTTACAGCAATGTGTGTCCTTGGACTGGTGTCAGAAATGGATGTATTCGCTTCTTTGGACTAATTTGTGAAAATATAAAAAAAATGACAATACTAAAGCAAATCAAATCCATGTATTTTTGTATTGCCCAAAACTACAACCACAGTCTTCTTGAAGAGAATAAGCAGAACCGTCCATGAAACAGCAGCACACAAACATAAATAAGTACACTGTACATTATTTCACCGTAGAATAACATTACAGAGTTTACTTTACTGTTATTTGTACGGTTTCCAAATGTAAAATGCCTCGATAGCAGTGCACTATAAACTGGAAAAACTGTATGTTCATTAAATTCAGAGAGAGTGTGTTTTTTAAACTTCTAAATCACAACTATGTATATATTTTATAATGCATATTATGAATATCTGTGCATTACAAAGAAATTATATGTAGACATCAACAGCATGTAATAAAAAAGACATAGAAATGCCATGTAATACTTAGAAAAATTCAATAAACAACGTCAAAAGAGAATTGGTGTGTACTATCCTGAATCTTGATCTTGATCTAAAGAAATGTCAATAAATAGAAGAGCAGTGCAATACTCAAACAGTAGTGACAGTAAAGTGTGGGTCATAAAGGCAGGGGACAGTGATGAGTTATGACGCGTTCATGAGTCAGAGGGGAAGAAAAAAAAAATAGGACCGTCCACTGTCCTTGGCCCCTCCTGCACAGTGATTGAGGGACCCACTCTGGCTGATAGAGGGAAGCGAGAGGTTGTTGTGAGCTGCACTGGTCCAGGCCGTGGAGGAGTCCTGCTTCCAGGTTTCCATCATTGGGTCATTAAACAGATCATGGAGAGGGGGCCGTACCATTTATAGCCTTGTATGTGAAAGATTTAAAATTTTATTCCACACTCCACATGAAGCCGGTGAAGTGATTTTAAAGGTATATAGAAAGATTTTCCCGAATTTAAGGAAAGAAGCGCCCTCCCCACTTTTGGAAAAAATGTACGTGCGCAACATTCTTCATGCTCCTGAGAGAGAGCGCTACTAAAATGTGTGTGAGAGACGAGCCCCGGCGCACGCTCTGTTTACGAGTCACTGTCAGTATTGCTCACTTACTTTCCAAGAAAATTTGCACTTTGTCCACTATGTCACAATATAGACATAGAAAACTTTTACTGGAAGTGATTGAAATTGATTTCTCCAAATACAATACTAAATGTTACCTATCACCAGAATGATTGACAAGAAGGAGGACCAACAGTCTCTCTTGGCGATCCACCCGGAAAAAGAAAATCCTCCAATATACCTTTAACACTGGAGTTACATGTTCCCTCCTTTTAAAATCCTACAAGCAGGGAGTCTGCAGGTTACAAAGGCTGAATCTGTTTGTCAGCAGCACTTTTAGGTAGAAATAAAAAAGCACTTCTGAAAGGACAACAAGAGAATGAAGGGAAAATAAAAAGGGACGAATACTACAATACTGAGGGAACATACATGACATCATCTAATCAAGTATTGATATTCACCCGTTGTCCCATTGTCTGTTTCATGGCGCAACAACGGGACCTCTGAACCCGGCCTCCTCCATCTACGCCTGCGTACTGCCCTACCCGACCCGCCTGGGAGCACTTCTGTCCTGCACCCGACTGAAGCACGATCTGTAGCTTAGGTCCTGGATCTGTTGCCCGTTTGTCCGTGTGGAGCAGATCCCTCTCTCAATGTGGATCTCCCCGAGGTTTCTCTCCTTTTTCCCACTGGGTTTCAGAGTTTTTCATTGCCAATACAGGAGGGTCTATTGGACAGTTAGCGTCCAACAAGAAGGACTGTGGTGATGATCCAGGACACTTTAGCACACATTCTACAACATGTACGGACATTTATGAGCATTCATGGACATTGGTCTCTTCCTATGGACCAATTCCTATGTGTTCTATATTTTGTATATCTTAACTGTTGATTCTCTGATTTGTGTAGACGATTTCAATAGTTTTGTTAAGTCCTCTGAGATGACTGCTGTTGTGATTTAGCTATACAAGAATAAATTGTTGTATAGCAGTATTTCAGTGTATATTATTGCAAATATATTTTTTAAAAACACACACCTTTCGCCCTCCGCGGGCGGTTATCCCTCTCTAAGCTCGGGTCCTCTACCAGAGGCCTGGGAGCTTGAGGGTTCTGTGCAGTATCTTGGCTGTTCCTAGCGCTGCACATTTCTGGACCGAGATTTCCAAGGTTGTTCCAGGGATACGCTGTAACCACTCCTCCAGCTTCAGGGTCACTGCCCCGAGTGCACCGATCACCACGGGCACTACTGTCACCTTTACCCTCCAGGCCCTCTCCAGCTCCTCTCTGACCCCTTGGTATTTCTCAAGCTTTTCATGTTCTTTTTTCCGGATGTTACCATCGCTTGGAATTGCCACGTCCACCACCACGGCTGTCCTCTGCCCTTTGTCTACCACCACAATGTCAGGTTGGTTCGCCATTACCATTCGGTCGGTCTGTATCTGGAAGTCCCACAGGATCTTTGCACGCTCATTCTCCACCACCTTTGGAGGAGTTTCCCACTTAGACCTTGGAGTTTCCAGCCCATACTCTGCACAGATGTTTCTGTACACTATGCCAGCCACTTGGTTATGGCGTTCCATGTAGGCCTTCCCTGCCAGCATCTTGCACCCTGCAGTTATGTGTTGGATCGTCTCAGGTCCGACACCTTGGGTCTTGTCTGGTGTGGTATATCTGGGCCTCTATCACTCTGGTGCTCAGTGCCTGTTCCTGTGCAGCCATGATGAGTGCCTCTGTGCTGTCCTGTAGGCCAGCCCTTTCTAGCCATTGGTAGGACTTCTTGAGATCAGCCACTTCTGTTATGCTGTATGTACATGCCGTGTAGGGGCTTGTTCTCCCATGATGGGCTCTCCTCCAGCACCTCCTGATCTTGCCACTGCCTGAGACATTCACTGAGTACGTCATTCGTTTTGGCCTTCTCCATGATGTAGTTATGGAGTTTGGATGTGTCGTCCTGGACAGTGGCTCTCACACTCACTAGTCCTCGGCCTCCTTCTTTACGGCTTACGTACAGTCTCAGGGTGCTGGATTTGGGATGGAACCCGCCATGCATGGTAAGGAGCTTTCGAGTTTTAACATCCGTGGTCTGAATCTCTTCCTTTGGCCACCTGATTATTCCTGCAGGGTATCTGATCACTGGCAGGGCGTAGCTGTTAATTGCCCAGACCTTGTTCTTGCCATTGAGCCGGCTTCTTAGGACCTGCCTTACTCGCTGGAGGTATTTGATTTGGTATGTGATTCTTGTGACTCTTTTAATCCATGTATTGTTCCTGCTTCTCAGGTCACATAAAGGTTATGATAAAGAGTAAATCAGTGATTATGTTTGCGAGCCCACATGGCCACCACAGCCTGCACATGTGTACATCCGTCCTACGAGGCTTGAATAAGTAAAGTGCCCAAGGGGAGCATCTTCACATCGGCACATGTGAGGTATATTTAGAAGAGCTGCGTTACTGTAGCTGTGCGTGGAGAGCTCTAACACCGGGAGCAATGACCCATGGGAAAACAACAACAGCGCAGGCGTCACATGACCCGCGTGGGCACCCACAGATTCATTTACATGAAGTGCCGAGAGGAAACCCCTGCAAGCACACACAGCAGTGCGTGTTGCTGCAGCCATATATTATTCACCAGCTGCAAACTGGATTCTCCTTTTCACTCCAATCACACACTCTATGGCATTCAGAAATCTACAGAGAGCATACAAGTGCATCCAAAAATACTTTGTGGTGAGCCTTTGCTGTAGAACACTTTGTACTCAATGAAGAGCGGCCGTGTGTTGTTGTATTTCTTTCTTTGGGAGACAGAGAGCAATCACTT